CCCCAAAACCCCAAAACCCCAAAACCCCAAAACCCCTCGAAGGACATATAGTTTGAACTAAGATGTCATTAATAACTTTTATTCAGAACTTTGTGCATCTACTTCACAGTATCGATTTGTTCAAATCCCAACCTGTAAGGCACATGTCTGGATGCTTTGATAAACTCCTTGACCTACAAATGACTTGGATCCTTACAAAGTTAACTGCTGAGTCAATGGTGTTTTCTTGGTTGTCAATCTCAATGAGTGTGATAGGGTATTCCTTGTCATTAATGCAGTCTATGGTTGTCAGACAAAGATACCTTCTAAGTAATCCAAAGGTTTATTCGGATCACGCCTCTTAAACAAGGGTTCATGATTCTCGTCCGAAATATTGTCATCAATAATAGTCTTAAATCTTGAGGCTTTATTTCTTTGAGTCAATGGCTTTTTCTCTTTGAATTCGCAATCAAAAGTTGAGTCATCAGGGAAGACTATGATTACGACACACATGTGATAAGAAGTTTTGTCAACCTCATTCTCCGAGCTTTCATCGCTCTTTTTAGACTCTGATTCAAAGACACTTTCTTCGTTACTGGTGAAAGTATCTGGAGCAGGTGTTCCCAGCCTACTATCGGAACCATTCTTGTCTTCTTTTGTAGGTATTTTGAGTCTCTCAATGAACTTACATGTATCTTGATCTAAAAGTGATTCGAAGACATACTAAAAACAGAATCCCATTCCTTCCTAGAGGTGAAGGCAATCATAAGATTCTTGATTTCTTTACTCTGTAGCATCTCCAAAGTCTGTTTGTGGTTAGAAGTACCCTCCAAAAAGTTACAGAGCCTTTGCATAAAATTGACTTGATTCTCACTATGCACTTCTGGTTTAATGGTTAAGAAATTATCTACATTATCACTGAAATTAATATTTTTGACTAATTTCTTGTTAACAGATCTCTTCAGAGAGTTCTTTTCATATGTAAAGAAGGTCAGCATATCTTCCTCAGACATAATATCCTTGATAGTCTCGATGTAATAAAGAGATTTGTAGAAAGTGTTAATAAACGAGCTGTTGTAAGAGATCATGACATTCCACTTTTTCGAAAAATCCATGAACTCAGTGATGCTCTCGATATCTATATATGAGATAATTGCTCTAACTTTCGATTTCAGGCTTGTGAAGGGTTGAGGCAAGAAACTCCTGATACAACTCAAGACTTCTTTGGTATATATACGGATCAATGTAATACGTCCCTCAAAGAGAACCACTCATTTTGACAGAAATCTGCAAGATACAGCTAGGTTCATCAAGCTCATTCAACTTTATACTTCTAAAGTTCGGATGGAATGAAGTGTCTCCTATAGGATTAGGCTAAATCTCAATGACCTAAGCTATTTGGAATGATGGTTTCGTGTATTATAGGGACAAAGAGACTATTATTCTAAGAATGATATACTTCATCTGTAATTATTCCGGTTTAGAACATTATAATAATTCTCACTTTGAGTTATAGTGGCTGAATAAGTGATACTTGACCTAAATTTTCGATTCTTCCTAAGATTCTTCAAATGGTCGAAGAATAATGCTGCTTCATAATAATAGTAGGTCTGTTCAAGGATTTCACTAAGAATATCGAATTCGCCTCTATCCTCCTTGCTCTTCACGTCTGAAGATTTTTTGACCCAATTGTATAGTGCGTAAAAGTTCTGAATTGCTTCTTCCTTTGTTTCAGAGATTTCATTGTACATGTTTGCACGTACCAGAAGAAGAGATGAGAGTATTTCTATCTCTCTTCCTACCTAAAATTTATCTTTAAAAATAGTTCTAAAACTCTGTGGAAAATTTCAGATAATGATTTTGGGCTGGTTCAAGAAAATCTTAAGCTTTTTCTATTGGAATGCACTATACCTCACTTTGAACAGTGTTCTTTGAAGCCTGGTTGATTTTTTGGATAGCTGATTGATAGAGACCACTAATTGTTTTCTTTCTCCTTTGAGTTTCTTTCTCATCTTTCTCACTCTTGTTTTTCTCAGCTAATCACTCAGCCTTCTTAATGAAAGTTCTGGCATAATTCAAAAGCCGTGATCCAGTTTCCAATGCTTCGGTAGTGTTACTCTCAAGCTTGGTAGAACTTTCTGAATTAGCCACATCGTGAGCTATGTTTTCTTCAAAATCTTTCTCAATGCAAGCTTTTTCAAAATATTTCATGGCTTCATCATAGTCCTCCATTGCATAATTCAGACACCCAATGTTGTTGTATCACTTCCTTTGAATCCTCTTGTACTTTATGAGCTATAAATTAACCAGATGATGTTACTTTGTTGTAGAACTCTACCGGTTGTTGATTGGCAAGCTTATTGGCTCTGATGCTAGACAGTTCTTCCTCCATTTTAATGTAGATCTCAAGAATTTGTTGGTATCAAAAGGTTGAAAATTGACAACTACTTTAAGATATAACATCTAAATAATTACATATTAATAACACATTTTATGATGGTCGATAAAATCTTCAGTTTCGTTTTCACTTCATTCTGTACTGCTCAAAAGCTTATCATCATCTTTGGATAAATAAGTTGTTGAGTAATATTCAGGATTCAGCAATATTATTGAATAGAGGGCATCCAGTATCAATAATTCCCTAGTTATTTCTTGCAGGTCAGCCTTCTTTACTTGAGCAGTAGCATTTGAAATACTTTGAAAGTTAGTAAAGGCATTTGTAGTAAGGTATCTTTCTATATTTTCTTTTTCATCTTGTATGATGAAGAATACAACTACAGCTATAGAAGTGCAGACAAAAAAGATAGTAGTTGAGACTAAATATAGTCAGATCAATCTTTTTCTCTTGCCATTCGGAACCTTTGTCAGAACTTCAAGAGCTTTAAGCAATAGCTTGAGGATAAGCACTATCAAAATGAGAGGGAAGAAAACAATGTAGCACAAGCACCTCAACTCTCCTGTCATGCTTTGATCAAGATAATATCACAAGTTTCATTTCCTCGCGAAGTTGACTCTCTTGCAACATAAAGTTCTGAAAGATTCCCAGAAGTAGTCATATTCTTTTAGTTCAGTAAGCTTGTCAATCTGGCTTTCCATGAGAACATTCTCGTCCATATTATCCGCTTCTTTAGAGAGCCTGATGTATCTTGACATCTTTTTATTATAAGATTCAGCTATTTTTAAACAATTTGGGGTTTTGGGGTTTTGGGGTTTTGGGGTTTTGGGG